ACTTGCTTGTTGATGACCTCCAGGATAAGCTGCTCCATCACCTTTCCCGGGATGGAGGTGAGGCTGACCGGCCTGTAGTTCCCTGGGTCCTCTTTCTTGCCCTTTTTGAAGATTGGAGTGACATTGGCCTTTCTCCCGTCCTCAGGCACCTCTCCTGTCCTCCAGGACCTCTCAAAGATGATGGAGAGTGGCTCAACAATGGCATCTGCCAGCTCTCTCAGCACCCATGGGTGCATTGCATCAGGGCCCATGGATTTGTGGACGTCCAGATCGCTTAAGCGATCCCTCACACAGTCCTTCTCGACCAAGGGAAAGTCAGCCTCTCTGTGAGCTTCTCTTAACTCCGGGGCCTGGGATTCCTGAGGGCCTGCCTTGCCACTGAATACTGAAGCAAAGAAGGCATTCAGCAGCTCTGCCTTCTCTGCATCCTCTGTCACCAGGACACCCGCCTCATTCAGCAGCGGCCCCACGTTGTCCCTAGCCTTCCTTTTGCTGCTGATGTAGTTGAAGAAGCCTTTCTTGTTGTTTCTGACATCCCTTGCCAGCTTCAGTTCCAGGTGGGCCTTGGCCTTCCTCGTTGCAAGTTCCCTCAGCCGCTCTTTGTAAGACTTGCTCTCTAGACCCTTCACCAGTCTTGTTGCTCTTTTTTGGACACACTCCAACACCTCAATGTCCTTCTTGCAGTGATGGGCCCAAAACTGAACACAGTACTTGAGGTGCGGCCCCACCAGTGCTGAGAACAGGGACACGATCACCTCCCTACTCCTGCTGGCCACACTATTCCTGATACAAGCCAGGATGCTGTTGGCCTTCTTGGCCACCTGGGCACAGTGCTGGGTCATGTTTAGCCAGCTGTCGACCAACACCCCCAGGTCCTTTTCTGCTGAGCAGCTCTCCAGCCACCCTTGCCTAAGCCTGTAGCGTTGCATGGGGTTGTTGTGACCGAAGTGCAGGACCCGGCATTTGGCCTTGTTGAAACTCATACAATTGGCCTTGGCCCATTGATCCAGCCTGTCCACATCCCTCTGCAGAGCCTTTCTACCCTCAAGCAGATCAACACTCCCATCCAACTTGGTGTCCTCTGCAAACTTTCTGAGGGAGCACTCAATCCCCTCATCCGGATCATTGATAAAGACATTAAACAAGATGAGCCCCAAAACTGAGCCCTGGGGGACACCACTCATGACCGGCCACCAACTGGATTTAACTCCATTCACCACAACTTTCTGTGCCTGGCTATCTAGCCAGTTCTTTATCTGGCGAAGAGTACACCCATCCAAACCATGGGCAGCTAGTTTCTCCAGGAGGATGCTGTGGCGAGCAGTGTCAAAGGCCTTACTAAATCCAGGTAGATAACATCCACAGCCTTTCCCTCATCCACTAGGTGGGTCACCTGGTCATAGAAGGAAATCAGGTTACATGTTCATCTCTCTTCCATAAGAGTGGTTTAATTTACGAAAACCTGGAAGTTAAAGCAGTTGTAACGCTCCTTGTTTACATGATGCCACATCCTTGATTGCTTAAAGTAGATGAAAGTACACAGTATTAAGGAATTACCTGGGATTATTTGAAGGAATGTGCTGAATTTCTTCGACTGCTGATAGACTCTTTTTAAAGCTGCTGGTTTGAGGTCAGCTTTATATTCATGGCCCAGCGAAAGTAACACAGTAATGTAGTGTATTTGTTTTATAGAATCTCTTGGTTTTTTCCCTGTCTGCTTGAAGATAACTTCAGCTTTTTCTCAGTGGCTTGCACTCGTGTCGTTGAGACTTCCCGCTGCTCCTTCAGTAGAAGTTAAGACAGTGAGACGTTATATTCCTGGCAAAGCTAAAGTTAAAAATATGTGTTAAAGCAACTGTCTTTTTAATGCCTTATTATGAGAAGTCTGTTTTTGGGGGGCAGTAGGGGAGAAGAGGTGAATAATACCTTGTTTTCTTCTACATGTTTAAGGAGAATTATGTTAGTGTCACTTTGTGAATCTTGACTGGGGCCTCGGAAAACACGTGAGCCTAGGTGAACTGCAGGTTTTGTAGTTTGATTTCGGAACCTGCTGTGTGGAAGGTGCTCTGAAGAGCTACATGTGATCACAGAATCATAGAATGGTAAGGGTTGGAAGGGACCTTAAAGGTCATCCGGTTCCACCCCCCCACCATGAGTGGGGACACCTTCCTCAAGACCAGGTTGCTCAGAGCTCCATCCAGCCTGGCCTTGAACACTTCCAGGGAGGGG